TTTTTTTCACTTCATTTTCTGTAGCTGTACAACCAACATGGCGGAAACTGACTTGGTATCCAAGCCTGGTGAAAAGTTGACATTTGAGCCCACGATCAATCAATTGCACAGCAGTTTCTCGCTTTTGACAACGGACACAAGAAAAGCACAATAGCGTTTAGTCGAGTGACAAAGAAAATGAGTTAGATTTGGTCTTCAAAAGGCTTCTTTCCTCTTGGTGAGAAAGTTTCCTCTCTGCAGTTATCTTCTTGAGGAAGCATGGATCACAGGGATGGCGCGGTAAGACATTTTGTAGGTATATAGATCTCTCTGTAACCGATCAGCGTCTTCAAGACCTTGGCTGTTGGCTTCGAATGTTTGTTTACTTTAAGTACATCCGTTGCTAAAAAATTCTGTTCAGAGGGCTTATATAGTAGTTACTAAACGGGTTTTAGATATGAAAACGTTTCTGTTACTATAACAACGCTTAAAATGGAACATTTGATACAAGGACTGTACTGTACGTCTGGGTTTATACATCCATGACCATTTGTATGTTTCCAGGGTCTGTTTGTCACGCCCGATCTCTCCTTGAAAAATTTGGGAAATCATGAAGAAAATTTAGCGATCTTCATCGTGTAATGATGGCGAAACCGGAAGACTGTTTCAAATACATAATATAGGTCTAAACACCTGCTTGAACACAATATCAACTTTGCTACACGTAATCAAAAAGTAACCTTTCTTCTTTTGACTGTTTGTCAGATTTGTTTAGAACTGTACCTCTCTTCTTTATAGACCACTCCTCCATACTTGTCTGGTTACAGAGGATATCGATATGGCGTAGACTCACCACACAGGGCTAGCATCCGTTCTTCGTCATCCTTTCCTGGTGCAAGTGGATCAGTGTCTTCATTTCACGACAATCTTCAACCATCTCCAAGAGGAACTGTTCCTCAAACTAACAGTAGAGGTGAATTTTGTCTCATTAAGCTAATATGAGTCGGTACAGAAAAGCCTTCTGACCTTGGGCAAATTGCTTAGATATCAGTTCAGCTTCATAATTTTTGAACATACATGTAACTGTCATAAAGACCATGAGTGATGATGAATAATGTTGCACTCAGACATCCAGAACATAGAAAATGCACCCAGCAGAGATTGTTGCATTACCACTGTTTGCACTTAAGTGTAAACACGTCATGAAAAAATGTTCTATAACTGGGTATCAAAAGTTTAATGATTTGTCATCACTTATTTGAAATGCAGAGGGATCTTCAAAGACTGATATTCTTTTTGTAGGGACCTCCTGGTTTCCCTTACTTGTTGAAAACATTTTCACAGCTTGATAAAATAATGTCAACTCTGTTGGACTTTGTGTGGGAAAGTTCGCATAACTACTTTTCCCATCCTCAATAATCATTTGATTGATAAATAAATAATGCAACATTTCATAAGCAAACAACAGTAAATTACTTGTCTTTGCTTCAAATGTAGTAATGTGACAAGGAAAATGTAATCATTTAATTTCTTTGATGATTGCCATCTCATGAGGTTTTACATTATTCTTTTAGCCTTATGTATATGCACTTAAATTGTCGTTACTCATTATCTGTTTGTTTAGCTGTGGTGTCAGCTCTAAAGGGACTGCAGGAAAAAATTCGCAAACTTGAGTTGGAGAGAGCAGATGCAGAGGACAACTTGAAAAAATTGGCTACTGAGTCCAGACATTACAAAGACGCATTACAAAAGGAGTTAACTGTGCGAGAATCTACTCAAGGAGTTATTGCAAAGCAAAACAAAGGTATCAAATAAATTCAAAAGTTACAGTTTTGTTTTATTGTTTGGGTGGAGATTTTGTGGCAGAGTGGTATTGGTTTTAGTGCTGTGAAGATTCACTGAATTTTGATCTTGGGTGAGAGAGTAATTATATAAATTATAATTAACTCTCACAGTAGCTCTCCACCCAGGTGTATAACAGGGTACCATTGAACTGATGGGACACCTGGACAAAATGTTAATGAAAAAGCGGTGGAGTGGGAAGAGGGGGGGAATTACCTGTGAAATTCTTATCCAGGGGGGGGGGAAGTAATCAGAGGCTGCTTCATCCTCTGGAACTTGGGTTAATCTTTGACAGTGTGTGCCAGTTTGGCCTGAGTTTGACCATTAAGTCAACTTAAGTTAATTTGTACAGTATGTACAGTGTAGTGGCATACATATCATGATATGTTGTCACTAGTTTGAAGGAAACCATTTTATTGAAAGTTTTGAAACCTGAGACAAGCCCCAACCACAATGAAGTAAAACATGATTTGGCTTACTAAGTCTTGACTTGTACATTGTGGAGTTTTTAAATTGGGATTAATTTCAAATGGAAGATGAATTTGTCAGACATAAATGGAATCACTCTTTGTTTACATTTGTACATGTATCATTATGTCGCTTTTAGATTTGGAAGAGGATCTTCAAGGTGCTGAGGCTCGATGCAATTTATTAGAAAAACAGTTGGATTACATGCGTAAGATGGTTCAAACAGCTGAAACGGATCGAGACACAGCAATACAGAGGTCGGCAATGGTGGCTAAACAAGCCGCTCAGCAGACATCAGATGAGATTAGAGGACAGCTGGAAAAACTATCCGGACTTGAAAGAGATCACATGAAATTAACAGCATCGCATTCTATTGCTGAAGTGAGTTTCAATTGTTCAGTGTATTGACCAATCTCATTATCGTAATTATCCCTGTAATGTCATGTGGTGATTTGTAATCTCCCTTATATTTTTTTGCAGAGTAAAATCAGAGAATTGGAAGATAGACTAAGAGAAGAGGCTCATCAAAGAAAACTAGTGCAGGACAAGACTGCCGAGGTTGTTCGTAATAGGCCCTTTGCATAACCCTGTCGCATGATCTTTTCAATTATCAAAAAGCCACATAATTTACTAAGTCTGTTTTTTTGGTCAGGAATATTGCCAACTTAGGGGCCATTGATGTCTTAAAGATTGGTATATTTTTACAGCAGTTTGAAAGTTGGCTGTGCAAAATCTGGGGGCGAGACTTTGCACACCCACAGATTTCCACAGCCATTTTTTTCTTGTACTTGTTTTGACGTCATGCTCAAGGGGCTAAGCTAAAGAGAGACTACTCGTGGTCTAAGATCTGTGGAGGAAAACTTGTTGGATTGGAACTATGCCATCCAGCACACAAATTCTTTAAAATTTTTCCAACTTTCTGCCTCCATAAACTCTGGCAATTAAACATTTTTTTCCCAATAGTCTCAAAATTGGCAGTGTTACAAATATCATAACACCCTTTTGATTCCTGACATCCATTTTATTTCATTGCAAAGTTCACACGACAGTGTTATACAAGAGGCCTATTATTATTATTTAAGAAATTTAAAGTCATATTTCAGAATATAATATTTGTAGGTGACTTTCACAGCTGCATGCTTTGTAGAAGATAATTTAAGGTTCTTTTGCTAACTG